TTAAATTGATCATATGCTCAATTCGATAATAAACAACTAATGGATGGGGTTTGTGTGATGTCAGAAGTAATCAAGGTCTGAAGTGTAATTATCAGCGGAGCTGACCCGAGGCTGATTTACACTCGCAGCGACCTTGATTATATGATATCACAAAAACCGAATTGTAAAACAAGACTTTAAAAACAAGTCATGTCAAAGTGTAATTTCAACGGGTGAKTTTTTTGCCTCTGGTCAGCAGTACACTGCAGGTGCCGCCTGCCGATTATCAAAAAGGCTACTGGCCAGCAATTACCTTTACGATCATCTTTCGGTTATCTCATTATGAAAATTAGATGCATAGATAGATAAAATAGATACAAATAAAATATATAATATAATATAGATAAAATAGTTGCAAGTTGCGTGGCTTTTTCTTCATTTATTCTATTGATAAAATAGATACCTATAGATCGATAGATAGATTCGTTTAATTGACACCTCTTGCAGAATAATCTGAATTACAGGTTATCAAATCAGATTTTAGATAGTTAAAGGCCCAGTTGCACCATTATGCTTTGCGCGCCCCTGTTATTGTTATGATATACACCAAAATACTTCTAGTATCCAAATATCACCACAAAGCAATTTTTTTTGTAAAATGTAACGTTTTTTCTTCATTCAGTCTTGATAATGGCTCGGTGAGCCGAAAGCTTGACGAAAATAAATATCTTTTAGGTTGAAGTAGCGCTTACATCGTAATGAATAGACCAACCTACAACCATTTATTTCATCAAATTTCAGATGGTTGAAAATTCTGCTCATATTAGCATTTAAAGTGCTTAGAAAATTGAGATCAAAGATTCGAAACACAAAGTACAATTTATAGACTTTCGGTAAACTGAAAATGGCCGCCTCCTGACCCTTGCGGCCCCAAGGCATAATGGTGCACACTGGGTCTTTAATACAATATATGATAATAAATATAACGAAGCCATTCATTGATGAGTTCTTATCCTTCCAGCGCGGCGTCCAAATCACGTCCGAGTCATCAAGCTGGCYATGGCCGAGTGGGAGCGAGTAACCTGTATTCGGTTTGTAAATAAAACCAATCAAACTAAAATTCGAGAATACGTCAAGATCTTCTATGGGTCTCAAGGGTAATCATGATTTATTAATGATAGCAAATGATTTTATTCTGTATATGAATTTAAAAATCATATTATATTCACATTAAGATTTATGTCATATCAAACAATTGGTTTAGAGACAAATTAATTCGTTTGCCAAACTTTTGCTGACTATGCATGGTAATCCTACCTTATAAGGAAGTACGTTAGAAAGTGTTTTCACGTTTTTTCCAAGATATATATAACATATTAAGATATTTTTTCGGCCTTCAAAGACGAGTGTTGTGGGACCTCTGTAACCAGCCTTGTAGTCGTTTATGACTGGTGGCGATATTTTTTTAAAAAAATAGCTCTAAATCCCTTCAAAATCACACACAGCAATGTTAAATAACATCAGCAACACATGAGATTAAGGTAAAATGTATTTTATTAAAAAAAAAACAATTTTGAATCAAATGCTCTGCTTGGGTTGCCTGTGAAAGAGCTAGATAAAAAATTGCAAATCATATTTTGAAATAATCCATGTCAATCTAAATGTTTAGTTGCAGAGGGAGTGTCGGGCGTTGGCATAGAAAAGCATCCATTTTGTCTTTAGGAAGATGGTGTGACAATCTTCTTGTTGTTCTACACGAGTTAGGTCACACAATCGGTTACTTTCATGAACAAAACAGACCTGACCGCAATAAATACGTTAGGRTATTATGGGAAAATATTGATCCAGGTAAGTATATCCACTGAATTTATGTAGAGATTGTGTGGTCATAATTCCTTCGTCCTGTCTTTTTCATCCTTCCCTCCTCCCTTCGAGTTTCACAATCCTTTCATTCTTTTCTTCTCATTCTTTTCTTTCTTGCTGTTTCTCAACATGTTTTTTTGTTTCTTAATATATATTTCATATCAGAAAATAGAGGGTTTTTTGGTCGAAGACGCACTTTAGCGGACAGTCGTGGGATTCCCTACGATTATAGTTCTATCATGCACTATGGGGCAAAGACATTTTCCAGGAATAAAAAGCCAACTATAATATCTCTTGACCCTTCAATAAAGTCGCTTGGTAATACGGGACTTAGTCAACTGGACATCAGACAGACCAATTTGTTGTATAACTGTTTAGGTAAGGCAATACCAACGTTATTCATTCAGAATTGATGGTTTTCAACCATTCCCATGAGAGTGAGCAAAACAAAAAGGTCCACCAGTCACGGTGGTGGTTTTCTTTTGTCAGGTCCACCAGCAATGGCGGACATCTTTTGTTTAACTTTCTCTCCTGGGAATGGTTGAAAACCATCAATACACAGTGATAGTTTACTGGTTTAGGACTTACATGGAGTCCAGGACTGGTCGATCACGTTGTTTGCAGTCTGAGGCAAGATACCTGACTCTCTGAGTGCCTGCTGTACTGATGAAATTGTGTCAGCTTTACTGGRATAAATTTAGGAATACCAGGATCTTCCATTCATTCACTTCATGCTCAACAAAGCTGCTTACTTTATTCATCGATTCATCCCTCATCTCTTCCATTCATTCAGAATTTCGTTCAATCGCTCAATATTTCCTTCATCCACCCCTTTATCTATTCACTTTAATCCCATTTCTAATTATATCGCTAGATTATCCAGAATTTCCCGATGATTTCTTCTTTACAACTGGCTTGCCTCCACACACGGCATACTGTGTAGCGATGGAAGAACCAAAGGACCGTTCTTGGACCACAACAAATATTTGTTACAGGAAAGATAAGAAAAAGATACCAATTCTGTGGTCACATACTGGTATGACTRGCATTATCGTCTGCACCTTAGTGACCAAGTGATATCGCTGTCCTTGTCAATCAAKTGCTCCCTACGAAGTTGTACAAGCATTTGCATCGTTGTTTTTGAGCTTGTTATCTCTTCACAATCTTAAAGATCTACTTAACGCTCGTTCCATTCAAAAATCACAAAAATTCAGGCTCACTCAAGCTAATTGATTTCATGGCTTAATGGCTAGGTTATGGAACTGATATCGGGTTAGGCAATGCATAGCACTGGTTCGGGTTAGGCAATGCATAGCACTGGTTCGGGTTAGGCAATGCATAGCCCTGGTTCGGGTTAGGCAATGCATAGCCCTGGTTCCAATCTTAATGCGCGTCCTTTAAAAAAWTATTTTCAGTTTAAGTTTAATCGAAAATTTTCTATGTTCTCCTCCACTGCAATTGGGACATGAGAGCCTTCTATGTATACATGCACAGCCATATTTGGAAGTCGTACGATAGATTCTCTTTATTTGGGGATGGGGGAAGTTTGCTAATATACCTGCGCAATATTTGCTACTTGTCAAATCTATTTGTCAAACATTGTAACTTGTCTGCACTACAAAATACAAGATTTTCAAATCAATGCATTTATATAAAATGTGTTTATAAAATTTTGATATATAACTCCCGCTCTGATTGGCTGACGACCGTGTTTATATCAGAGGACAGAGACACGGCTTACCGACAAAATTTGTTTTTCGCTTGAAAAACGCAGAAAAAAATTATAAAAGAACTATAAAACGCCCGATTGTGTCGCTGTCCTCCGATATAAAACACGTAAGAGCTGAAAAGCACCAGAAAAGCAAAAGAAATACTCGCCACGCTTGTGTTTCTAAGCTTACTTCTCTCGCCGTGTTTTTCGACTCTCACCGTGTTTATACATCAGAAGACAGAAACATGCGCGCTGTTTTATGTTTCTTAATTTCGTGATGCAAGGGTCAGATTCATGCGACTTGTATTCTATACAGGTAACATCCTATCTATGGAGTGTACCAATACCATCATGCCTCGCAAAGGAATTGATGCTAAGTTCTGGCAGGACAACTACCTATGTGTACCACGTGATAGTAGTCTGAAATTTCATTGGTCGGTCTCTGGCCCTATTAACGGAATGAAATGTTCTGTTGTAATACCTGGGTCTAACCACCGAGACAGATACTATTTGTGTGCTACAAAGCAAGCTGTTGTTAAAGATCCTAAAGACTCTGTTGGTAAGTATTTGCTAACAGTGTCATGTATGTATCATATATTACTAGATTATAATCATTTAGTATTGCATGCTCAGCTAATACTTTTGTCTTTACTTACTAAAGTCGGTCTCAGCACGATTCCTGTATGTGGTGATCTCGGCATTGCTCCCGGGGGGGGGGGGGGGGGGGGGGGTACTCGACCCGGGGCATTGCTGCCTCTACTAACGCTATCAACATACATACACCAATCACGCTTAGACTGTAAAACACGAAACAATCGAAATCAATAAATATGAATGCTGAATTTAATTTAATCTTAAAAATACATTATAGGAGATGACTATTCACATTGGTCGGCATGGCATCCATGCAGCAACGACTGTGGGGGTGGTACACAGTACAAATATCGCAGATGTAAGAAGAAAGGGACTTGTGTTGGAAAAACATGGAAAACCAGAATATGCAACGTGCAAAAATGTTTGAGTAAGCTATGAATTCATAAAAAAATCCTGCATGTCTAACCATTTCTACTGGAAAGCCCTCCAATTACCTGCAATGGCTTGGTCTTCATATAGTTAAGTCAAAAACGGAAAGAGTAACAACCGCTGACTCATTTGATCACAATCAAATCAATTCTACGTCTAGCGGGTGAAGCTTGCGTTCTACGTCTAGCGGGTGAAGCTTGCTTTCTTCGAACATTCTTTCATTCTCACCGACACAGCTCACATTAGTTTACCGCTAGTTTCCACCATTTTGCTATCTTTTGGTTTCACGAGATTATCGTTATTTTTCATCCCATTAGGCTGGCCCCATTTCCCTGAGGATTTCCAATTCTATATCGGTAATTACAAACATGGTCTGTCGTGCGCACAAATTTACGAACGGAAAGACTATTGGAGCTGGATCAACCATAAGTTCTGTTGGTCTATTGTTAATAGAAGAAAACTTACGATTCGTTGGTCTGACAGCGGGAAAATACCTGGAATGAAATGTACGAAAATAACTGAGCCGATTGAACGGCACACCACTGGCTGGAATGATAACTATCTGTGTGTTCAATCCAATGCGCCCTACAAGTAAGAATTAGACTCTTACAAATGCTTTCATTAATATGCTTACAACAGCTCCCAACCGCGTATAAGAGAGACACGTTTTATGCCTGAAAATAGTAAATTATTATCGTGGACAAGTTTGTATATAAACCTTAACGATTCCATATCTAGCACGATAAGTAGAAGGCCAGAGTCAACCAGTTCCTGGGGACGAACATATATGTCTCTATATTTAGTAGAGGGAGTCCGGTTAGGAMAACCGCGAGTTTCCCTCTACTAACTATGTTCCCCAGGTAGGTATAAGTCACAACTCGATACGAGAAAGATCGTTATAATGCAATTTTCTCCCTGGAAAGGAGTAGTTTCTTTTTCCCAAGAAACTCAAAATAGAGCTTCGATCACCAAAGCGTTCTTTGTTTGCAAGTGTGGTCTTTACTTAGTAATTTTCCTGTAGGTTTCGATGGTC